AAAATGGAAAACCAGGGACATACAGAAAAATCAGTTCTGAAATCAAGATAAAACTCCAAGAAACGCCTTCAACTTTGAGATCCACCACTTCTCAGCCATGAAAATACCACACCAAGAGTTCAAATCAACATCCAACATCTATTTCACTTAGTCTAGCAATCAAGACTCGCCAACGCTCACTCTAGAAGTTCAAACACACTAAAACATTAACTAGCTAAACTACCCAATGCAAGTTAAACATCGTAAACAAGGGATTAGATGTTAACTTACTCGTCTAAAAACAATGACAACGCGAGGACGACGGCAACGACACGAGTTGTCCGTGGTGGCCTCGGCTTGACACGGCAAGCGGCAAACGGCGGTGAGCGGCACACGGCGATCTACGGGGCTCAAGGATGGTGGCGTGAGGGTGCTGGTGGGTGAACGGCGATGGTGGGGTGATTCAACCGAGAGAGAGGGAGAGAGAGAGAATAAGAGAGAAAGTGAGGAGAGAGTGAAAGAGGGTTTAAATTTAAATCAAGATCAATGATTGAGATTTGTTCTTGATGCCCAAGCAAAGATGAAGGGCTAAGATCAAGCCTTGCTCTCCAAGTTTAATCCAACGGCCAAGATCAAGCCTTGCTCTCCAAGTTCCATCAAACGGCCAAAATTTAATCTAACAAAGAGGTTTCTAGAAGGGCAAGTTAGCAAATAATTTTCGATGGCTAATTCGTAAAAATTATGAGGCAACGTCCTATAGTTCGGGTGTGATATCCTTGAGCACTCGACACGTAAAATCGGATCATAATTCGTGGTTGAAATCGATCGATCGCAACTATAGTTTATCTCGAACTAACGGGCGGCTGCTAGAAATAAATTCTTCGATAGCCTTTCCCCTTTGGCTGGTATTCCCTGGGTGATCAGACCAGAGCGAGAATTAACTAATAGAGTGTCGATGAAATCATCATTTCATAAATCACCAAATTTGGTCGAATTTTCAGGATATCACAATTCTTCCCACCTTACAAAAATTTCGTCCTCGAAATTTGAATTTACATCTAATTCCTAAAAAAAAAGGGGTATTGACGCCTCATTATCTCTTCACTTTCCCACATGGCTCCCTCGGTTCCATGATGTTGCCACACAACCTTGACTAGAGGAATAGTCTTGTTTCGTAGTACTTGCTCTTTTCGATCCTCAATTCTCACTGGTCTTTCCACGTACGACACCCTATCATCCACGTCTATCTCTTCATAATTTAGAACGTGGGTCGGATCCGGCTCATATTTCCTTAGCATAGATACGTGGAATACATCATGTACTTGAGCCAATTTTGGTGGCAAGGCTAGACGATATGCCAATAATCCAATTCACTCCAAGATCTCGAACGGTCCCACATATCTTGGGCTTAGCTTGCCTTTCTTGCCAAAATGCGAAGTTACTCGAATGGGTGATACCTTGAGGAACATGTGATCTCCCACTTGAAACTCTAATGGTCTACGTCGCCTATCTACATAACTTCTCTGGCAACTTCAAGCTATCCTTAGCCTATCGCGTATCACCCTTACTGTATCAGTTATAACTGGTATCAACTCCGATCTTGTCAACTTCCGTTCTCCTACCTCGCCCCAATAGACAAATGTTCCATAAGCCCTTCCATATAAGGCCTCAAATGGGGTCATGTTAGTATTTTTCTGAAAACAGTTGTTGTAAACAAATTCCACTAGATGTAACTTTTCATTCCAATTACCCTTGAAATCAATCATATATACCCGCAACACGTCCTCTAACACTTGAATCACCCGTTCTGACCGTCCATCCATTTGTGGGTCCATCCGTTTGTGGGTGGAATGCTAAGTTTCGTTCCTAGAGCCACTTGGAGACTCTTCCAAAATTTGGGGTGAAACCTGGGTCTCGATCCGATGTAATGGTCACAGGCACTCCGTGCAGTCGCACTATTTATTTAATATATAAGTCTTTATACTTTTCAAATGTATAGTCCACTCGCACAGCCAGAAAATGTGCAGATTTAGGCAATCGATCCACTATTACCCAAATAGAATCGTGATTACTTGACGTTCTTGACAATCCTTGCACAAAATCCATAATAACAAGCTCCCATCTCCATTTGGGAATTTCTAAAGGCTTTATCATATCTACTGACTTACGGCGTTCGATTTTCACTTGCTGACACGCTAGGCACTTCGAGACGTGCTTAGCGATATCAACCTTCATTCTACTTCATCAATAATGTTGCTGAAGGTTACGATACACTTTTGTACTCCCAAGGTGGATACTATATCTTCTCCTATGCGTTTCTAACAAAATCTCATTCCTAAGTCCTTCCTCTTTGGGCAAGCGGAGACGTCCATGAAGCCTTACCATTTCATCATCCGGTACTTGAAAATTCCGATCTTTCTACCTTCTACTACTTCTTTGCAAACCTTTGTAATCTCAAGATTTGATTGCTGCATTATTCTAATCCTTTATATAATCTCCGGTTCAATCCTAAGTGCAGCCATCATACTCGTCAGCTCATTCATATCTAGCTTAGACTCCGAATTTGAATTTTCCTTGAGTAAATTTCATTCCTGATTAATCATATTCGCCACCGTCATTGAAGATTTCCGACTGAGAACATCCGCCACCTTATTCGCCTTCGCTCCAACCTGCAATCTACCTTACTCCCAATGTATTGCATCTTTCATATCCAGCATGATCTGAACTTTCAGGAATCATTAATGAATCTATCAAGATCTCTATCATCTTAATTACGACATAACCTAAGAATATCTCTCCCTCCAATTGGAGATTCATGAAATCAGAATATTAAATCAATGGCTAAAATACTTCCAATCATAATTCTTAGAAAAAGATCAACTTCTTCGAGTTTCGAACTCATTATCTCCCAAGCAATTGACTGTATTTGCCTCCATGGAGTTTGATACCACCAGAGTAAGAACTTGTCTTTGATCACTATTTGAAAGATCGATTCTTAGACATGAGTGACTATCATCTTCCAAATCATCAAAATAAGAGGTTGTTCTCAACTCCACATAACTTAACGTGAATATTATTACTTAAATGATCAATAACTAATTGAATAACTTCAACTCCTCAAATCGTCCAAAGGTAAAAACTTACCTATATTCTATTCAATGTTCCCCAAGTTCTAAACATCGAGAATCATCATTCAACTTATCACTTTTAATATCACAACTTAAGCATCCATCCATTTTCCTTTAAAGAGGGTACAATCCTTATCCTCTAATTCCACAAAACTGGTTAAAATCAAGGTGCATCCTACAATCATGAGGAACATACCTATCACTTCAACCTATAAACCACAAGTGAATTTACACCACACGTGACAACTCAAGCTTATGACTTCCAAGATTAGTACTTATCATACTAAGTATGTTCATGTGACACATCAAGACTTTAATATAGATTCTCTTTTTCCAATAGGAGATCGCAACCTAACTCAATCGATCATAACTTAATTTTCAAAATCATAACTTACTCTCTATAAATTATATCTTGGCCAATTCATCTAATTCCACCGATAATCAAAACTCCTCCATCTCATTCGAAGACCTTCTTTGCGAATAACATCCAAACATCCAAAAGATTAGTACTCACCATCAGAGCTTAAAATTTAAACTTAATACCTCTAAAACCCATCATTGTCTTTATGCAAAATAACCAATACTAGCATCCTTGGTTCCTCTGCCAAAGTGTCAACTACAGTTGCCAAATAGCCTTGGCAACCCTCATCCAACATCCGAGTAACCTTAGGTGACGAAATCAAAGGGATCGATGGTCCTCCTCGATTCCCGACAAACTCAAACCCAACACTCCTTAAAAGCTCAAATTGAATCGTCTTACGAGGATAGTTTACTGTAGCCCGCTGTTTGGTGAGCCAATCCATTCTAATAATCACATTGAAGTCAAACATCATCAAGATAATTACATCTATGCTGTCCTCACGACCACCAATAGATACTTATAACTAGCACAACCTATTGTAGACACTACACTATCCTTTAAAGGGGGTAGAAATACTATAAACCACTCCCAGCGGTTTCGGACTTAACCCCACTAGCTTCACAAATTGCTCAGCCACAAACGGATGTGTAGTTCCAGGATCAAATAAAGCATAGGCTGCATGGTCATGTAACAAAGTCGTACTTGTAATTACGGCAAGCAAGTTCTCCACCTCCTTCCTCGTGACAGCATAGACCTTTCCTTATATTTGGGGTCGGTTCAACTGGTTCAATGGGGCATTCCTTATAGGTTGTCCTACCTGTTGCACTGGTCCTTGCGCGGCTTGGCGCAGACAGTCTCTTACATGGTGGCCATGCTGGCTACATCCGAAGCAAGCTCCCGTCTTCACTAAGCACGAGGCTGATCCATGGCTCCTATGATAAAAGTGACACACATCATTTGGATTGTATGTCGGTTTCCTCATACCACCTTTCTTGTTAGGAGGGATGGGAGACCTATCCCCTGTCATCAGTTTCTTCCCAAACCAATCATTATCCTTGTTCAGCACAAACCATGATCCAAACGGGGCTACCCTCTCAGCCAGGTTCCTCTCAATTAACTGTGTCCTCTCATACAACTCATCATAATCCTTCAGATTCTGGGGCACCAGTGGGTCTTAATATCAGGCTTTAACCCATCCCTAAACCTCATTGCTTTCCAATTCCAAAAAGGAATTAGAAATCATAAACAATCCGTTGAAAAACGAGAAATCTAATAACCAAGCACAGGCACATAGTGTTTTCCTAACTTACTATCCCAAAACCCATTGCACCTTATCACTCCAGGTCTCGACCAAACTTGGATCGAGCTAACCTTGCTCTGATACCACTTCAATGGGGATGTCACGCCCCGAACGCCGCGAGCGCGCAACATCCTGCAATGGTCATTATGATGCGACGTCACAGGACGCGTCGCCGACCCAACATTTTATCTTTTGATTACGCATGCGGAAGCTAAACAAAGATTCACCCAGACAATAACAATAAACAAGGATAGATAGAAAAACGGTTTACAACATCGAAATCAAAACACCATTTTAACATTCACTTGATTAACCCCTGGGAACATTTTTACAAGCCCACTTCGGGCATTTCCATAAAAGTCTACAAAAAGATATCAGGCTAGGGTTAATCTACTTCACCAAAAGTCAGCTTCCAGGCACCCCGAACCATACTGGGTGCATCAACATGCTAAGGGCCTGAAAAATGTTTAACAACCACAAATGAGATAAAAATCTCAATAAGTTAACGCCTAAGCCCCGTTTAGAAGGCCAACTCACCTCGGGGGTCCCTAATCACGCGGCCATGCACAAATCGTTAACCAACCACATGCATCCTTACCTTGCCTTGGCACACATATTATGCATAACATAGACAGTCATATGTCACAACGATACATCAAACATATCACATACCCAGAACGTGTAATGAGGTTTCCCATACATTTATGCATTACAGTCGCGCGTGTCTCGATTATAAGGCAAAATCCACTTGGGCACGTCCCATACCATGCCTAGCAGTTTCTACCCCATAATCAAGCACTATGCATCACACGTATTCCATTTATTACGACCCCTCTTGTTCACTACACATCAAGCGATACGCAGCGAGATGGCAGTCTTCCGGCATAACCGGGCATCGTCCCGCCCCGTCGGGCACGGCAACGTCAAACGATACACAGGATGACGGCATTCCAATACGGCAGCATCAAACGATACACAGTAAGATGGTATCCCGTAAGGAGCATCGGATCCTCCCTCGGGCCGCGATCCGGCATCCGGAGTATCGGCAATCCAGATAATCTCCAGGCGTCCGATAAACCGAGCGCGATACGCAGCAGACCTCGATAAACCGGGCATCGTCAAGCGATACACAGCGAGACGGCTCCAACGTGTGACCACACGAGCACACAAGCATTCAGGCCAATTCTTATCTTTTCATTTAGCCAATGCATACATGAATCGTGCTCACATTCATGCCACTCAACAATAACAAGTGGTCACACATGCAAACGGTCAATTGACTTTGTGAACCTCATTTTAAAACTGTGAACCTCATTTTAAAATATGAATTTACAAAAGCATTCGACATCAGATCAATGCCAAATAAGCATCATTAAAAGGCTAGATAAGTGCGGTTACTGTTTCCAGTAAGTCAGAAATCAAAAACCAATGCTTTCAAGTAAGGACCAGCAGATCATGGAAATCTAGTAAAACTGGACAGATTTGCATGATTTGGGAAATCAATCTCAAAGGCATAGAAAATGAATTCCAAAAATTCTAAAATTCGAATATGTTATAAACAAGACCTTCAAAAATATTTTCCATGAAGAGCACAATCCAAAAATCCTTATACAAAGATCACTTTTGATGGCTTGGAAACAACCCAGAACTGGTCCGCCGGAACAGGGGAACTGAACCAGAAGAAATACTCGTTTTACAAACCAAATCCTTTCAAAACACTTTGAAATTTTTATACGTTGTAGACATGGATTTCCTTTACAAATATTGTGAAGGAAGTATGGCCGAAATCGAACTGAAAAGTTTTATAAAAATCTGAGAAGGCACGAAGGTCACGGAATCCACAGTATAAAACAGTTCTGATTCGGTAAGAAATTGGACCTTCGTGTAACCCATTTGAGCTCAGAAAAATCTGAAATTTAAGTATGTTATAGATCAAGATCTTGTGAACAACTTTTATGAAGAACACTTTTCAAGATTCTAACCACAAAATGCTTTATAAAAATGGAAAACCAGGGACATACAGAAAAATCAGTTCTGAAATCAAGATAAAACTCCAAGAAACGCCTTCAACTTTGAGATCCACCACTTCTCAGCCATGAAAATACCACACCAAGAGTTCAAATCAACATCCAACATCTATTTCACTTAGTCTAGCAATCAAGACTCGCCAACGCTCACTCTAGAAGTTCAAACACACTAAAACATTAACTAGCTAAACTACCCAATGCAAGTTAAACATCGTAAACAAGGGATTAGATGTTAACTTACTCGTCTAAAAACGATGACAACGCGAGGACGACGGCAATGACACGAGTTGTCCGTGGTGGCCTCAGCTTGACACGGCAAGCGGCAAACGGCGGTGAGCGGCACACGGCGATCTACGGGGCTCAAGGATGGTGGCGTGAGGGTGCTGGTGGGTGAACGGCAGTGGTGGGGTTATTCGGCCGAGAGAGAGGGAGAGAGAGAGAATAAGAGAGAAAGTGAGGAGAGAGAGAAAGAGGGTTTAAATTTAAATCAAGATCAATGGTTCAGATTTGTTCTTGATGCCCAAGCAAAGATGAAGGGCTAAGATCAAGCCTTGCTCTCCAAGTTTAATCCAATGGCCAAGATCAAGCCTTGCTCTCCAAGTTCCATCCAACGACCAAAATTTAATCTAACAAAGAGGTTTCTAGAAGGGCAAGTTAGCAAATAATTTTCGATGGTCAATTCGTAAAAATTATGAGGCGACGTCCTATAGTTCGGGTGTGATATCCTTGAGCACTCGACACGCAAAATCGGATCATAATTCGTGGTTGAAATCGATCGATCGCAACTATAGTTTATCTCGAACTAACGGGCGGCTGCTAGAAATAAATTCTTCGATAGCCTTTCTCCTTTGGTTGGTATTCCCTGGGTGATCAGACCAGAGCGAGAATTAACTAATAGAGCATCGATGAAATCACCATTTCATAAATCACCAAATTTGATCGAATTTTCAGGATATCACAGAAAGGATCAGCGGCCAATCACCAAATAACATTGCATCATCAATGATAAGCACATGTCGGGATCTCCATAAGTAGTTACAGTTTTGCCTTTCGACAGTGAGCGCCTAGGTTTGGCGTTCCTAACATCATCACCATATGGGGACAACATCAACATGTTGAATAAACTCAGATTTGACACTTGTGAGAGTAAGCCCTTTAGCCAATGCGAGGCGCCAAAGCTTTTAACTAAAACACGTTGAACGAGCATAGATTTGATATCAAAATTGCTGTGAATACCATTGAAACTAGATGCGAAATACTTATTTATTAAAATTCCAAATTCTAGAATTTGATCGAAGAGAAAAGCTCCTAAATATAAGATCGGAAGAGCAAAGCTCCCATATCTAAAACTAGATAGCGAGAGTAAAGAAAGAAACAAAAGGAAATTAAAGGAAAACTTACTCATTTGGCCGAAGGTGGAGGACTTCTTTCATCCTCTTCACCTTCTTACTATCCACATTGAACTACTTGTTTCATTTTTGCTTGTTAAGGACACTTATTCTATTGAAAATAAACCTCTAATATGCTTCTTGACACATAATGATCACTTGTCATTTTAAGAATGCGTACAAGGCCAAGGGTCTCTTTCAGATTCAGACTCTTATACTAATCTTGACACTTAAAACTAAGTCATCGTTACCATAAAACATGAGTCATCACCTCTTCTTCCATTTGGCTAAAGACTAAGTAAAACTCAAACACCTGTAAATTTTAGTTCACATGCAATCTTACACTTAACAATTTACTCATCACTCTTAATCTTGGCAACATTAGACTCATTTTTCACCTCGGCCGTATCACTTTACCTTCAATCTTCAAAAGAAAATTACTTCTAATTTTGATCTTGGATTTTATCTTACAAGAGCTACGGGGTGGTTAAGGCATTTGATTGTTCAAGTTTGTTAGAAGTAAGTGAAAATTCTAGGCGTTAAGTTAGCTTAATCTACTTAGTGCTCTTGACTTGGTTGCTTATTGTGTGCAAATTTTGGTTTTGGGTTAAATTTGTTGTTAAGTGTGACTACGTACAATACTGGTGTAAAGGTGTTATAATTGTTTGATTTATCTTGTTGATTACATATATGCCTAAAAGGTGTTTGATCGGTTTTCTAAAGGTGTGGTAACATGTTGTACGTGAAAATGATGAATTTGAACTTGGAAGTGTTATCTTTGTAATTTCATATTCAATCGTCGTCGGTAATATCCACCTTATATTCATTGATTAGATTCACTTGTCTGAATATATTCACTTGTTTGATCAGATACACTTCTTGAATATATTCAGTTTAATCAGATTTACTTCATGAATAGATGGACTTACTAAGTATATTCATTCATGTGATTAGATTCACTTCCTAAATATATTCATTCACTGAGTATATTCACTTGTCTGAAATTATTCGATTGTTTGATCATGTTCACTTCCTAAATATATTCTCTTGTCCGAATATATTCACTTTGTTTGATCATATACACTTCCTGAATATATTTAGTTTTATCATATTCACTTCTTGAATATATTCACTTACTGAGTATATTCTCTTGTTTGATCAAATTCACTTCCTGTATGTATTTAGTTTTATCAAATTCACTTCCTGAATATATTCACTTACTGAGTATATCACTTATTTGATCAGATTCACTTCCCGAATATATTTAGTTTTATCATATTCACTTCCTAAGTATATTCTCTTGCCTGAGTATATTCACTTGTTTTATCAAATTCACTTCCTGAATATATTAAGTTTGATCAGATTCACTTCCTCAATATACTCACTTACTGAGTATATTCATTTGTCTAAATATTTTCATTTGTTTGATCAAATTCACTTACTAAATACATCTAGTTTTATCAGATTCACTTTCTGCTTATTGAGTATATTCACTTGTCTAATTAGATTCAAAACCTGAATATATTTAGTTTTATCAGATTCACTTCCTAAATATATTCACTTACTAAGTATATTTTCTTATTTGACCAGATTCACATCCTGAATATATTCACTAACTGAGTATATTCACTTCATGAATATATTCATTTACTGAGTATATTCACTTATTTGATCATATTCACTCCTCATATATATATATTTAGTTTTATCAGATTCACTTCTTAGTTTTATCATATTTACTTCCTGAATATATTCACTTACTGAGTATATTCACTTATTTGATCAATTTTACTTCCTAAATATATTTAGTTTTATCATATTCACTTCCTGAATATATTTAGTTTTATCATATTCGCTTCCTGAATGTAGTCACTTACCGAGTATATTCATTTATTTTGATTAGATTCACTTCCTGAATATATTAACTTATTGGATATATTCATTTGTTTGATTAGATTCATTTTTTGAATATATTCATTCATTTAATATATTCAATTGCATTCATTCATTTAATATATTCAATTGCCGGATTTAATTTACTTACCTGCTTATATCCAATTGAATATAACCACTAGTTGCATATATACAGCTTCCGAGCATATCCATGTATTGAGTATAATCATGTGTTGCTTCTTACTTGTTTGTTTAACTAATGCATTTCATTGCTTTGAGGAATATGTGATGAAGCAAGAATTTGAGTATACGTATTGAAATGCATGCAAATACTTATTTATCATAGCCTACATGAGAGTAACATATTTTCTGTCACCCATAAATTTATAGTGACAATGTCCTGTGTGTCGGGATGCCCCATAAATTGGGATGCCTCGTTTGTTGGGATTTCTTGGAGTTGAGATGTCCCGTATGTCGGGATGCCCCAAGAGTGTTCGAGAGGAGAAGTAAAATAACCAATGCATGTGTGTGTGAATATATAAAGATACATAGGAACTCATGTCAATGGATGAACTAATTGGTGGTTACCTTGCATCAAAATATGTTATGCCATCCACATGCACATGAGTAAAATAATACTGTGCAATGTTGTTATATTACTTGAGCATATCATAATAGAAAAGGTAAAACAATACATATGCACTTGGTATGCATGCTTGCTTCTTATATGTTCATGTTGTTTTGTATCAGGTTGAGTGTTGAGGTGATCCTCTAACTTAAACCTAAAGATTTCATTTACTGGGTTTCGGCTCGCTCCTTATTTTATAAATTTGTAGGATGGTCTCCCTTGGACACGACGATGGAAGGGATGAGATGATGATGAAGGCCATCAACCTTTAAGATGGACGGTGGCTTGGTTAATGTTTAGGCATGCTTTTAGGTTAGTATGGATGTAGTGACGCTAGTTAACCCGACCCTTTTCCCCGGGCTTTTGTATTTTGCTCTAACGATGTAGTCAAGTTGTAAAAATGATGTTTAATATATATAATGAGGCATATGTGCATTAACTAAACTCGTACGATTTTCTTGTAAGGGATGTTGCGAAAATTTTGTTGTGTTTCTGCATGCGTAATTATAATTATGAATTATAATCGGTAAATACACGTGTTGCGCTTGACATTTTGGGCATTACATGTTGGGGATCCGAGCTCGGGTATCAAGATCTCATACTCAGCCTTTATGGACCCGGGCTGGGTGCCGGGGCATCAACCACAGGGTCAGGGCATTAGGCATGGGCACCGGGGCTTTGAACCCGGCCTCAATGGACCTGGGTGGGGGTGTCGGCGTGCACGGGTGCCGGAGTCACGGGCTTGGTCCCAATGTACCTGGGCCTAGGCACCAGAGGTCAGTGTTCAGGTTTCCATGCCTAAGCATAAAGTTCCAAGTCCACGTTCCAAACCACCGAACTGGCTTTATCTGGCCGGTTTTCACGAGGACCAGTTTGATTCTCAGCAAAAAAAATTGGAAACCGGCCTTAAACGATTTAAAAAGACTGGTTTCCAAGTAGAACCGATTTTGCACCGATTTAAAGGCCGGTATTCAAGTAAAACTGATTTTGAAATGATTCAATACAAAATTCCAGAAGTTTTTAAATTGAGAACCTTTACAAAAAATAAAAAAGTTGGTTATTCCAACATAAGCAAGCAACTGGGAACCAATTTTATCAGAGTACGTCCAGGTGCATGATTTAGAAACTATCCGTTTTGAACCAATTGCCGCTATCTTTATCGATTATTGTAGGATCCAGAAACAGACAACAAAAACCAGTAAGGGCGTGTTTGGCAACCAGCTAAACAGTAACTATTTCTATTTTTTTGTTCCCAAAATTAGTTTTGGAACAGAAATCCGTTTGGTAAATTTTTTGTTCTCGGGCACAAATTTGCAAAATTTTGTTCCTAGAATCAATTTTGGAACAGAATCAAGAAGCAAAAAAAAGTTGCTTCTTGATTCTGGGAACAAGAATCAGAAATGGAAAAGAAATTTTTTTTTTCTTCTTCTTCTTGACCTGTGGCCGGCGAGGGCGTCGCGGCGCTCGTTGGCCACCGGTGAGGGCGGCACTCGCCCAAGCCGCGAGCCACTCTCGTTGGATCTTGCGA